CCACTCTTTGCTTCCTGTTAGTTAACCAATCCTCTATCCGTGCCACTACATTGCCTATAAAGCCGTGCACCTCTATCTTATGCAGCAGCCTTTTGTGCGGCACCTTGTCGAATGCCTTTTGGAAAACTAGATACAGGACATCTACTGGATCCCCATTGACAACCGTCCTTGTAATGACTTCATAGAATTCCAGTAAACTAGTTAAACATGACCTTGCCTTCATAAACCCATGCTACATCTGCCCAATGGGACAACTTCTATCTAGATATCTTGCTATTTTTTACCTTGGTGATAGATTCAAGAATTTTCACTCCCCCCACCTCCAACCCACAGAAGTTAAGCTCGCTAACCAGCCTATAATTCACCATCTTTTGTCTACCTCCGTTTTTAAACGGTAGTGTCACATTTGCTATTTTCCAATCTGCTGGAACTGCCCCAGAGTCCAGTAAATTTTAGAAAATTACCACAATCGCATTTGCTATTTCTCCCACAATCTCTTTCAGTACCCTGGGATGCATTCGATCAGGGCCAGGAGACCTGTTTACCTTTAGCTCCATTACCTTGCCAACACTACCTCTTTCGTAATAATGATCATTTCTAAGTCCTCAGCTACCTTATTCTCCTTGTCAATAACTGGAATGTTATTCATGTCCTCTACTATGAAGACCAACACAAAATGCCTGTTCAATGCATTGGCTATCTCCTCATTTTCCATTATTAATTCCCTCTTCTCAATCTCTAAAGGACCAATGTTTATCTTAGCCACACATTTTCATTTTATATATTTGTTGAAACTTTTGCTATCTGGCTTTATATTCTGACCTAGTTTACTCTCATAATCTATCTTACTTTTCTTTATAGCTTTTTTGTGGCTTTCTGTTGACTTTTAAAGTTTTCCCATTCTTCTGGTTTCCCACTGGTCTTTGCCACTTTGTATGCCTTATCTTTCAATTCACAGCCTCCCTTATTTCCTTAGTTATCCATGGCTGACTATCTGTTTTCCTACAGTCCTTCCTTCTTACTGGTATATACTTTTGCTGAGCACTGTGAAAAATTGCTTTGAAAGTCTTCCACTGTCCCTTAATTGCCCCACCAAATAACCTTTGATCTCGGTCTACCTTAGCCAACTCCTCCCTCATCCCATCGTAGTCTCCTTTGTTTAAGCACAAGACCCTGGTATTGGATTTTATCATCTCACTTTCCATCTGTATTCTAAATTTAACCATACTGTGATTGCTCCTTCCAAGAAGATCCCTAACTATGAGATCATTCCTGTCTCATTACACTGGACCAGATCTAGGATAGCTTGCTTCCTCATCAGTTCCATTACATACTGTTCAAGGAAACTATCTCAGATACATTCAATGAACTTCCCCTCAAGGCTGCCTTGACTGACCTGGTTCGACCAATCGACATGTAGATTAAAATCCCCCACGATAATTGCCGTACCATTTTTACAGGCATTGGTTATTTCTTTGTTTATTGCCCACCCCAATGTGATGTTATTATTTGGTAGCCTATAGACTACACCTATCAGTGACTTTTTCTTCTTAGAATTTCTAATTTCCACCCAAATGGATTCAACCTTATTCTCCATAGAACCTAAATCAACTCTCACTACCACCCTGATGTCATCCCTAAATATCAGAACTAAACCAACCCCCTTACCTTCCTGTCTGTCCTTCCAAATAGCCTGTTATCCCTGGATAATTAATTCCCATTTGTGACCATCCTGCAACCATGTCTCTGTAATGGCTGCTAAATCATAGTCATTTGCGATGATTATTGCCGTTAACTCATCAGTCTTGTTTCTTGCTACGAGCATTCAGGTAACTTTCTGAAGAAGGGTCCAGACCCGAAACATCAGCTTTCCTGCTCCTCTGATGCTGCTTGGCCTGCTGTGTTCATCCAGCTCTACACCTTGTTATCTCAGATTCTCCAGCATCGGCAGTTCCTACTATCTCTGAGCATTCAGGTAAAGTGCCTTTATGCTAGTTTTTACACCTTGTTTTTGAATTCTAGCATCTTCATTAATAATATCTCCTGAGTTTTCCTTCCTTTTAACTTCTTTCATAGTCTTCAATGTAGTTAAACCCTCCTGCACGTTAACCTGCTGCTTTCTTTTCTTTTTACCATTATACCTCCTGTCATTTTACCCTTCCCTTCCCTTCTCGTGAAAAAGGTACATAAGATGGTCACTAGGACTTTAAATTAGTGAACCGGAAGTCCTAGTGACCACCCTATTTGCTTTTATCGCTAGAACACTGGCTGTAGATCAGTTCAGGTGGAGACCTTCCCAACAGTACAGATCCCTCCTGTTCCAAAACTGATGCCAATGCCCCATGAAATGGGACCTCTCCTTCCCAAATCACTCCTTTAGCAATGTGTTTACTTCCCTAATTTTCTTATCTCTAAACCAATTTGTATGTGTTTTGGGTAGTAATCCAGAGATTATAACCCTTGAGGACCTGTTCCTTAATTTCGTCCCTCGTGCTTGATAATCCCCATACAGGTCCTCTTTCCTAGCCTTGCCAATGTTGTTTATCCCAACATGGACCACAACAACTGGGCCCTTGCCCTCCCACTCCAATGTCTTTCAAGGCATCCCTCACCCTAGCAACGGGCAGGCAAAACACTATACCGGACTCTTGATCCTGCTTACAAAGGACGCTATCAATTCCCCTAATTTTAGAATCCCCAGCAATTACCACTTGCCTTTTTGCTCGCCCGTCTTAAGTAGCCTCCTCTACTGAAAATCTGAGAATCTATCATAAAAGATTTAATAGCTGAGCATTTAGGAAACAGTGACAAGATTAGACAGAGTCAGCATGGATTTACAAAGTTAAATTGCTTGACAAATCTATTGGAATTATTCGAGGATGTTAGTGGAGCTGATAACGAGGTGCTAGCAGATTTGGTTCATTTGGACTTTCAGAAGGCTTTCGCCAAAGTCCAACATAAGAGATTAGCATGTAAAATTAAAGCAGATTGGATTGGGGTTAGTGTATTGAAATGGACAGAAAACTGATTAGTAAACAGGACACAAAGGATAGGAATAAACCAGTCATTTTCCAAATGGCAGATAGCAACTAATGGGATTACTGCAGGGATCAGTGCTATGACACCAGCTATTCACTATATTTTAATGATTTAGATGAGGGCATGAAATGCGATACTTTCAAATTTGGATATGATACAAAGTTGAAGAGGAAGGTGAGCTGTGAGAATTCAGAGCTGTTTCAGTGTGATTTGGACAAGCTGAGTGAGAAGCTAGATGCATGGCACATGCAGTATAATGTGGAGAAATGTGAGGTCATCAACTTTGGTAGCAAAAACACAAAGGCAAATTATTGTCTGAGTGGCTACATATTGAGAGAAGAATGTGCAAAGAGATCTAAGGTGTCCTCGTACACCAGTCACTGAAAGTAAGCAAGAAGGTGCCGCAGGCGGTCAAGAAGGTAGATAGTATGTTGGCCTGCATAGCAAGAGAATTTAAATTCTGCAGGTCTGGATATTAGTTTTCGGAATCCAGATGACAAATTTCAGGAGAACAGTTTTCACAGCCCCTTGTTTTGGGAAACCATGTGTTTTTTTTTTGTTTCAGGACTTCAGGTCTGGGACTTTTGCACATTCAGTTTTGGGTTTTGTGGAGCAGGATTGGCCATCCTAGTTTTGGGGTCCAGGTCAGGTTTCACAAGCTCTGGAGCTGGTTCATGATTTAAATTATGCAGATCCATATTTTCGTCATGTTCTTCAGAACCAAGTCAACCCCCACCCCCACCTCCTACCTACCCGCCTCATCCCCGCCTCCTTGACCTGTCCGTCTCTCTCCACCTATCTGCTCCTTTATCCATCTTCCATCCGCCTCCCGCTCTCTCTCTCCATTTATTTCAGAATCCCCTTCCCCTCCCCCATTTCTGAAGAAGGGTCCAGACCCAAAACGTCAGCTTTCCTGCTCCTCTGATGCTGCTTGGCCTGCTGTGTTCATCCAGCTCTACACCTTGTTATCCTAGGTTTTGAGAAGTTTTGTTAGGACTATACAAGATACTAGTCCGGACCACAGTTGGATTACTGTGAGCAGTGTTGAGCCCCTTATCGATGAAAGATATACTGGCATTGGAGGCAGTCCAGTTAAGGTTCACTTGGCCGGAGGTACGGAGGGACTGTCTTATGAGGAGAGGTTAAGTAGATTGGGCCAGTACTCGTTGGAGCCAGAAGAATAAGAGGTAACCTTACTCAAACATATAGAATTCTTATAGAACTTGACAGGGCAGATGTGGACAGGTCATTTCCCCTGTGGGAGAATCTAGGACCAGAGGGGCATAATCTCAGAATAAGGAGTTACTTTATTCTGAGGCAGAGATGAATTTCTTCTCTCTGAGGGGAGTGAATCTGTGGAATTATTTACTGCAGTGTGTTGTTGAGGCTGGGTCATTTAGTATATTCAAGGTTGAGACAGGGATGTTTAATCAGGAAGGGAATCAAAGGTTATGGGGAAAAGGCAGGAAAGTAGAGTTGAGGGCGATCAGAGCAGCTGTGATCTCATTGAATGCTGGAGCAGCCTCAATGGGCTGAATGGCATACATTTGCAGCTACGTTTTTTGATGCAATGATTTTGGAGGCTCAGGTGTGTTTCAGCCCACCCTCGGTTAGGAGGATCAGGTCCCAGGTGATGCTGCCCCGGTGATCTGTTCCATTGGGATCCTGGTCCGCGTGATCCCGCCCCCGGGTGATCCGCCCCCGGGTGATCCCGCCCCCCGGTTTATCCCGCCCCCAGGTGATCCGCCCCCAGGTGATCCCGCCCCCGGGTGATCCGGTCCCGGGTGATCCCGCCCCCGGGTGATCCCGCCCCCAGGTGAGCCCGCCCCCGGGTGATCCGGTCCCGGGTGATCCCGCCCCCCGGGTGAGCCCGCCCCCAGGTGATCCCGCCCCCGGGTGATCCGGTCCCGGGTGATCCCGCCCCCGGGTGATCCGGTCCCGGGGATCCCCCTCTCTCTTACCGCCGGCCCTGGGCCCAGCTTTTCCGTCTCTTCACCGAGCGACAGCGACCGTTGTCCCCGGGGATTCCCCACCTCAACCGCACGGAGCGGGAGGGGGCGGAGCTTGGATGACGGGGCGTAGCCTCGAAGGGAGTTTCTCAGGGACGGAGCGGACGCTCCTGCGGCGACTGATAAGGGGCTTGAGGTATGGGGCGGGGCCCGATGGGTTGGGGCGGGGCCTAAGGAATGGGGCGTGGCCTGCGGGACGGACCGGCCATTGGGGTGGGGCTCGGCCAGACGCTGGGGACACGGCCTGAATGAAGGGGTGGGGCCTGGGTAGTTCCGTAGGACGGCGCGAGCTCTTTGGTGGGAGCTGATGGAAGGGGCGGGACCTAATTGTGATGGTGTAGCGAGCGAATGGCTGATCGTCCAGCTGGGTCCCCTGTTCCTGCTCACCCTGTCAACATCAGTAAACTTAGAAATGTCACGCTTAAATTCTTCATCTAAATCACTAACATATATTGTGAAGTAAAACTGAAACCATTGCAGATGCTGGAAATCAGAAACAAAAACACAAATTACTGGAAAAGCTCAGCAGGTCTGGCAGCATCTGTGGAGGGAAAGCATGGTCAATGTTTTGGGTCCAGTGACCTTTCCTCAGAACTGATGGTAGCTAGGAATGTGGAGGAGCAAATTACTGCAGATGCTGGAATCTGAACAGAAAACAACAAATGCTGGAGATCACAGCTGGTCAGGCAGTATCCATGGAGAGAAAGCAAGCTGACGTTTCTAGTCTAGATGACTCTTTATTAGAGCTGATGCGGAGTATGGAAGGGGCATCATTTATGCAATTGTTGGGGGGGTGTATTTCTGGGGGCAAAAGAATGTTGATAATTCAGATTAATTGATCACTTCAGATTAAGTCCATAGAACTGCATATCTTGCTTGAATTCCATAGTCACCGGTCAATGCAAACATCTTCCTCAGACCTCTAGAGGCGTTTAGCTTATTTCTTAAAGACTAGGGTTCTTTTCTCAGAACCTTTAAAACTGGATAACTGGAGAATAACTCAGGAGAGTAAAATCAAAAACTCAGCCCAAGTCTGCAGGCTCCCAAAGCAAAACCGCCTCATGCCCAAAACACATTCAGAGCCAGAGATAGTAGGAATTGCAGATGCTGGAGAATCTGAGATAACAAGGTGTGGAGCTGGATGAA